AAAATATACACATTATCATTAGAGGCGGGTACATATCCTGAAACCTGGAAGTTAACGTATGTTCTTCCCAAACACAAATCAGGACCGAGAAACCTGTTCGGAAACTACAGACCTATAAATATCACCCCAGTTATTTCGCGCATAATGGAAAAAGTGATACAAAGTCAACTATCAGATCACCTACTTAAGGAAGAACTAATAGACCCAACACAACATGGTTTCATTAGAACAAGATCATGTAGTACATGTCTGATAGACTTCTTTAACGAGGTTACTCGCATACGTGACCAGAAAAAGCTAGTGATTATACTTTATTTCGATATAAAGAAAGCCTTTGACAAAGTACCCCATAATCTTCTAATCAACAGACTCCAGTCAGCTGGAATTATAAACCCCCTATTGCAATGGATTAAGTCTTTCCTCACAAACAGATACCAAATAACGAAGCTTAACTCTACAACATCTACACCTCGACCAATAACCAGTGGTGTTGTGCAGAGTAGTGTCTTGGGTCCATTGCTCTTTATAATTTATATCAACAATATATGCAAGTGCTTTACTACAGGTAAGACCTACCTTTACGCTGATGACTTAAAAGTCATCTATAAAACTGACATTGGTGATGTACGAAGTACTATGCAAACGATCCAACATGAACTCAACAAAGTAGACGACTGGTGCAAACGCTGGGGGCTAGAGCTCAACACAGAGAAATGCGGTTGGCTATGTATTGGTAACACGTCACTTAAACTAAAACTAGCACTTAACAAAAACCCACTGCTCAGACTGACATCAGTAACTGACCTTGGGGTGCATTACTCCGACAGTCTTAACTTCTCTGAACATATTTCAACTAAAGCATCTCAAACGCGGAGATTGCTTGGCTTCATCCTTCGTAATTTCTTTCAAAAGGAAACTAAAATCATCCTGTATAAAACCTGCGTAAGACCCATCGTCGAATACTGCTCGTTCTTATTTTCCAACCTACGCCTATCTGATATACTTAAGGTGGAAGGAATACAGCGAGACTTCACTCGCAAAATACTTAAGAATGACCAACTCACTGACTACAAATCCAGATGCCATATCTTAGGACTAGAACCCCTCTGGAAAAGAAGGCTTAGGTCTAACTTAATTCTTTATTTCAAACTCCTTAAAAACCTTACTTATTCCACATGTAATATAGCTCTCTACCAAGACTCACATGGATACAACCTTCGAGACAAAGTATCCACTGTCAAAATTAAAAAACACAGATCAAAAACACGTGAAAACTTCTTCCTTATCAAGTACGCATTGATATGGAACAGTCTGCCTTCTGAAGTACGCATGGCAGACAAATTACATACGTTTGCAAGACTCATTAATCAACCCCTCACCTGCATAGATCTGGTGCAAACGAACACATCCACGTCCCACACAGACATCATAGGCTCTCTACATATATAGACTGAATCGCCTTATTTCCCTACCTTGTAGTTGTATTAGATACTTTCCCTCACTTATTCTTTTCAATTGAAGTAGACAGGCAACTCACTGGACCTATCAATACTCGGTCGCTAAACGACGCTTATAAATACCCTAAAACACCAGAAGAAACGCACAATCGACTGACTACTGTCAGTGGTCGTACAACCACAGAACCTGTCACCCATCAACCGGTTAGCACAGAACAAAACAACCTCAGCGCGAATTTAGTGTGAGTTACTTCTTGTCTATTTATCAGTTTTTTACTCATCTGTACACTATGTTGCCTTGCCATTAATATTATTTCACCACTCGTTATCTTACCTTATCTGTAACTAATATAAATCTCCACTTTTCCGCCTACTATGGTAAAGAAATATCCTACACTATACCCTTCCTAATGCCTATACTCCGATTCGTAACCTACACTTCACTATATAGTCAATAAAAACATTGCTTCGAAGCCTTACCCACAGTCCATAATTTGTAACTGTCTGATAAGCTTGTAACATGGTACTTATAGAAATAGTGTTTTCCAACAGGATGTGAAACACAGAGCATTGTGTGAGGTATGATATGTATCCAAAAAATAAGCTTAAATAAGCCTAACATCACAAAAGGAGGGAGGGTGGAGTTACTGACCAGCAAGCACTGATGGTGTGGGCGATGATTTCAATCCACCCATGTTTGTGAGGCAGAACATTTTGTTTGTATCAGGCTCTTTATGGATGAGAACAAGTCAATAGATCTGTGATATTGAGATTGTTCACCTACACTCACCATTCAGACTCATGTTTCTAATTTTTGTGCTGGATTAACTATTCTACTAAGACAACCTTTAACATGCTAACTCGGACTTTTACATGAACACTGTGTGGCAGGCATCGGATGAGAAAAGAAAAAAACTGACTGTAAAGGATATGGTTGCTATTTTACTTAACATTACTCTCTATATGCACTCTCTGTTCTTCCTCATTCCAACCTTGACTTCCCTCCTTCATTGGAACCTACTCCACCTTGATAAATATCACAACTCATTGTTCTTTATTACTGCCTTCTCTCTTCTGGAGACCCTAATCGCAGTTTACTCTTGCAACATGAGCTAGTATCAATTTAATCTAATAATTTATCATACCTCCATCTGTTCCACTAATAAATGTTAAGCATTGATTATCGCTCATATCCAAATGCCTTACTGCTCCTCGGTTTCTCTTTCATTTTTTCTCTTCAGAATCTTGCTCTGAGGGTGAAGCTATGTAACTTCTGACATCTGGAACAAGCTTGACGAACGCGCCTTCCCAAGGTCATAGCTCGAACCAGGCGCTCCACAAGCCTACTTTATATCAACTATAAACTTAAAAAGCTGCATTACATAAATACTTAGAACTACCGAAACCCTATTTCACTTTTTGTCGAGATTGGATCTGGTATATAACGTGGACGCTATGCCCCTCTGGAAACTATTCTTATGAAAACACATTATATATGAACGAATGAACTGCTATCAACTTTTATAGATTATAATTACTAAACAAACTTGCTTGGGATGCATACTGTGAACCGGTATATGTTGTAAATTGTAGATCATGCCTGTAAAAATGGCGTGTACGTGCTAATGCAGAAATACATTATTATTATTATTATTATTATTATTATATCGTCAATCCACTACAAACCTAAGCTGTGTATATATGTGTGCAGTTGTTTGATTTTTTTGTAAAAGAAACCCATTGAAATACTTTTTCCGATAAATCTATTTTGTGCCAAACATATGATATGAGATAAGCCGTTAATAATACTAATAATCTTTATGGCTTACATCACTAACGTCAGTGGCTTTCGCCATTTGTCTGCGGTATCAGGTATTTTATAACCAGAACAAAAAGCACTAACTTCGATAGTGTAATAAGAAGACGAAGATCATCAGAACTATGTGAAATAAGCGCAATACATTTCGAACAATCTGATCACACATACTTGTTAAGGACATTTATAAATAAAATAAAAAGTCGACTAAGCTGGAAATGAGGGGTAGAAGTAGATAAGGATAATAATAGTGATCATAATGTGAAAACAATTTGAAACCTAGTCGCTCTGGATAATAAGCTAATAATACCAGGGTAGGTTTAAGGTGAGAACAAACTGTTTTTGATTACATAGAGATCTGAAAATGAGGCTGGGTGAACATGTACTAAAATGGTTGCAGAAACAAATAGAATCAAATGACCCAATAAGAGTGGAGGATAAACAGCCATCATCCTCTATTACCAAACAAATAATCGAAACATGCCACAAGATTGATCTTAACTCGGCTTTAGTGGTGCTGTATAAAAGTGTATAAAGGCATATACTAAGTTCTATTGAAGCCTTAGCCATACGAAAATTCAAACCCGCTTTGTGTATTCAAAAACAGTTTGTTCTCACCTTAAACCTACCCTGGTATTATTAGCTTATTATCCAGAGCGACTAGGTTTCAAATTGTTTTCACATTATGATCACTATTATTATCCTTATCTACTTCTACCCCTCATTTCCAGCTTAGTCGACTTTTTATTTTATTTATAAATGTCCTTAACAAGTATGTGTGATCAGATTGTTCGAAATGTATTGCGCTTATATATCACATAGTTCTGATAATCTTCTTATTACACGATCGAAATTTATCAAAAGGACGAATTGCTTTAAGAAGCACTAAACCAACGAGATAATCTCATTGTACCGTAACCGGTTATTTTAACTTTTTTCACTTATTACAGGCAACAGGACTCAGAAAGGAAGCGTTTTAAGTAATCTAATAATATTATAAATAAATTTTCAACTCCTCAAAAATCATGAAAGACAAACTCAAGAATATTCGTCCAGTTTTTGCACTGAAAACCTTTGACAGTTTAGTTGATGATTATTATAAACTCCAGTTTGACGGTAGAACCTTCTACATAATCTTTAATAGTTTTATTCGTCCCCATTTAGAGTACGAAAACATAGTATTTCCCCCCTCCCTCCAAAAGGATAAGGTCACTCTGGAACGTATACAACGTCGAGCCACGAAATCAGTTCGGGGTCTCAAATTCAAATCTTATGAAGAGCGCCTCAAATCACTTAACCTTTACCCGTTAGAGTACAGGCGTCTTAGAGGTGATATTCTTATGACTTATAGTATCCTTAATACTTCTGGTCATCCCCTTAAACAACTTCTTAAGCTTAGTCATAACACTAACCTGAGAGGTAACACCCAGAAATTGGAGACCCTACATAGCAGAACAGACTGCAGACACAACTTCTACTCCGTTAGAGTTGTCAAGCGCTGGAATTCGCTGCCGACTGAGCTAGTCCAAGCGACCTCCCAGGAGTCCTTTAAGAGGAAACTTGACTTATTCTTAAGGACTAAGGATAACATATTATTATGATTTACCAAATTCTTTTTTCCCCTCTATTATCGTTCATATACCTAGGTTCTTGCCTGGAGGTATTGGTGATCCACTGCTACCAGACACGGAAGCCCGTTAACCGAAAGCTTCTTCTATTCCGTCCTCAACCATTTGAACCATTTGAACCAATCTACCCATTTCTTCTGAACAAATTTACTCCGGGTATTTTAAATGTAGTGCTACGATGTCAATAACGGGTCCTTCATTTGAGAATCTCGACAAGTCAAAGGGGTTATGGAGGTGTGAATTCCGCTGTAATATCCTTACATCTTTAGAGCAGCCTATGTTCTAATAAAAAAGTTGGACACTGTTTACCATGGTGGAAAGGCGATTAAAACTGTCTTCAGTTATGAGGCTTATGGGCATAGGTTAAGGTTTGGAATTATTCCTCTTCTATATCACCATAGACTAAAGGAACTTCTTCAAAAGCTGATGTTTATGGATTTAAGCACGAATTTTAGAAGAACTGAGGAGCTTATTTGGCGCAAAGCATTTTACGAACCTTATTTCCTGTATAAAGTTTATGTTAAGGTACCCAAATATAGAGGCATTTTTTAAACGAATTCAGAACAATGATCAACAAGATCGTGTCAAGTTGTTTGAAAACATGCTTACCGTTCATATCCTCAGTGCTATAGGATACTACCAGTCTCTAATTTTAGCTTTCCAATCAGAGTTAGGAGATGCACAACCTAATAACTTATGTTCATGGATCCCGATAGCGTTGCATATCCCTCTTTACTGTGGTAAGCCATGTTGATTGCCTAGCGTTTTGTATAAGGAGTGTTCTTTGAGTTTGAGGAAAAGCATAATCCGTCTGTGGAGAATAAGTCTGCAATTATCAAGTTGATGCACAAATGTTTGACAAATATCGGAGACCTATGTACGTTGTTCATACACATATAACAAATACAGTTCGATACTTAATTGATTTTGGGGATTCTAACGCTAAGCGACTTGCTTATCGATATTACAAAGCGGCTTTTTACTTCGATCCTCTTATGGGTAAGTGTCATATCTATTAATATGTAATATATATCAGAAACAAGATTTAGCGGCGTTCCCTTTCATACTTTTTGATTTGGTTTTTTTCGTTAAATGATCTCATTTGACAGATAGTCTTATAACTAAGTTTCTTGTTCTGTTTCGGCAACTATGTGACTGTCGATAAACTTCAATTGTTACCCATCGTGTATGTAGGGTTCGTGTTGACGTCTTTCTCCAGTTAGGTTAGTCTAACTTCCTAAGTGAAGCTAGACCATTTTCAGAGTATTAGACTTCTACCCTGTAACCACGAAGAACATCTAACTTTCAGATATCCGTTCAGATTATGAATAAAACGAATAATATGACGATTAAGAATTAAATTTAATAACTAGGTCTCAATTCCCTGAAGAGTGAAAAGTGCGCAAAATTTTCACTGTGCAGTCGTTTATAAAGACCGATAATGTTTACTTGGTGTTCGTATTTTATTCTATTAAATATGCAACCAGTCCACTGGGTCAGTGTATTGTATTCTGATATAAGTTCACTGGGGCTTGCGTCCATAATTTGATCTCGTGGTCAGTTTTCGTACGGTCACATAGTACCATTACACTTCATCTATCGGTTGGGATTTAGTTCACTTGAAGTCTCAAAACTTGTTCATAAAGCCTGCCAGAACAACAAGTCTGTTAATTTTTAAGCTTAATCATGTTTACAGGACTAATGTGAAATAAAAGAGTATTCTAGTAACCATAGAATGTCCATACACTGATTTAAACACATGTACCAATACTTGTGTGGAATGTTTCGGAGAGTAACTGTTTTAATTGGTCATATAGTGAGACATGTAAGTCAGAAAAGGTTAGTTGATAAGGTGTAGAGACATTTTAATATCCTCATCATTAGTGTTTGCTAGTTTTAAACGACACAATAGTTCTGACCATTTGGCCTCATTCTGTCACGTTATCATCAGGATATAATACGTGGAATTTTGAGTCTTTCAGCAGATAATATTCGGAATGAATTAGATGTGGTTACTTCAGGTAAAACGTTAATCATATCAGGTGTTTAGAATTTCTCCCATCAGTAGATTTACTCAATGTATGTACTGGTGTAGGAGCAGGTTAGAAGAAAGCTAGGGGCGGCCAGACCAAAACATGGCATAAATCCATGAAGTTGCTGACAAGTGGACTGGGCCATGTTGGTAGGTGTAGACTACCTGGTTGGGATCCGCGAGATGATAGCAACCGATGGTTCTAGACCTTGAATGACATGGCTCAAAATCGTTTGCAATGGCGAAGGTGCATCCACTCTTTTTGCTCTACCAAATTCTAATCTTCTGAATTCCACATGCACCTATCCTTCTTCTCTTTACAAATTTGTTTCACTGAATTATACTCCTTCAATAACATCTTCAAACCCTTATCTTTCACATAATACTTATACTCTTACTACTTCTACCAATATGGGATTTGAATCAACAACTTCATCTCTGTGCTAATGTGGTGTGGCAACTCGAACTGATGTACGTACGTACAAAGTTCTACGTTGTAACTGACTGACTGATTGCTGAATGTATGTACTGGTGATGTTTACCGTATGTGTAAGTGATTGGGGCCAAACAGAAGTTAACTCGTGGAAAATGTAGATATTTCCATTGGTATATTAACAATAAATAAATAAAGACAACTAATTAATATCAGTGGTTTTGATGTGTGTTGTGAAGTGTTATTCACACCATATCTATGTGGCCATTGATCTATGTTTTTCTCTAAGCTGTTTTATCCATGCTTCCAAATATTTTCTTTCTTTCCTTAGGACTGCCTCACAATCAATTGGGTATTTTAGATGTTGGACGTTGCTACGGCCTAAATGCTATTTTCCATTATTTACGTTGCTTAACATCCCGTTCGCCTTTTGAGGGTGCTAAAGGAAATCTCATCACTGTATTGGCTAAAAATGAGCTTCGTTATAGTACGATTATTCGCGAAAAGCCGTCTAAAAGTTCACGCATTCGATATGCTTCTTATTTCAGGTGAGCGTATTATTTGTACTTAGTAATTTCTATTTTTTGAGTGTTTCACGGTGACTATTAGTAAAAACTGGAGAGAATAAATTACCATTATAAATACCTGAACCATGTATTTGTCCGAGTCATCGTATTTCGCATTGCATAAAAAGTGTGTTTGAGCGGAATGAATTTCACCAAACAAATTCATCATCCCTATAAGCTCCAGACCACACCTGCTGCTGTGCACACAAAGTCTGTCACAAAACCCAATTCGTAAAATTCTGCAACGGTTGGGTAAGCTTATCTAAACACCACCACCTATAACCTAACCATTTATTGCTTGGAAATGCTGACAATAAAAATGCCTCTTACAAAATCATGATCTGTTGTTTTTTTTCACCCATCTTTAACTATTCACGAGGTAGAGATTAGCTCATTGTTTTATTCCCTAATGTCCCCTTAATATTGAAGGTAGTTTAGGCCTAAACGCGTCATAAAACGCTTCTGTATTTGTTTTGAAATCTTTTCAATCACTAACCTTTCAAGGCGGTTGCAGTATCCAATGTAAACTAGCCGCATTCACATTGCTCACTGTTCTTTTGCACTGAACATCCGAAAATAATCCTGAAGTAATTTTTTGGATTTTAAGGATAAAAAGCATGGACGTTTTATCCTCATACTAAGTCACGGCAGTCCTTATCTTCGCTCATAAACTTTACAATGAAATAATCGAATCACTCAATCTTGAAAGTTTATTTATGCTAAACATGTAATTTTAAATGATCATTCCTAAAGTCAACTTTTTGCTGCTTTTTAGACCAAAAGATTTCCGGAAGACTATCATGAAATTCATCTACCTAATTCAACAGTTCCTGAAACCTGTAGAGTATGTGTCATTTTTCATTCCATAGATTTTGTTAATTGAAAAGAACATATTTTAGTTAATTCAAAAGGTCATAAAATACTAATACTATGATGCAACAGTGTTAAATCACTATCAAGCTGCAACTTATAATTCGATCCCAACTAGTTCGTTTTCGGTAGCCAGGTAAGACCGCTAGCCTCTACAAAAATATGTTACTCAAATTTGAGTACATACCCTTTACCTGGTTACTGAGTTACTTGTTAAAAAAAATCAAAACTAATTTATTCGTAACAATGAACAGCTTTATCGTTTACAATGTTTTTATTTGAGATAAAAGTGCTAACAAAAGAAATTTAGTTCGTAGCATTAACTTTTAGATCATATTTCGACAATCCCTTCGATTTGTTCATTGGTGATTTGACCAAAAAATTATATATTATATATATTTTTATTTATTTATTACTGTTTATATATACTCTGATGTTGGCAGAGGGAGTGAAAGATTCACAACTAAATTATTCAGCTGTGGGAATACAACATCTCGACAAAATATAAGAGACATGGGAATCGGAAAATAAAAAGGCGGTCAGAAAGTTTAACATTTATGTGAGGCTTGTCAAAATATTTTCTTATTCTCCTGGAGTTTCTTTTATTGTTTAGTTTAAATACGAAGATACTAAAACATTATTATGTGCTCTTATTAATTAATCATGTTTTAACTCAGATTCCCACGTCTTTTGAATCTCTATCAGAAGGTCAAAATACTCTAACACACTAATCAATCGCTCATTTTATAGATTTCAGTTATGGACTAATGACCTAACTTTTCGATGATTTATGGTGCTCAGGAAAATTCTAGAAAACGTTCAAGTAGAATATACGTGGGATATTTCGGATGTCGTAGTCGGTCTATTGTTCATCAGTCAATCATCAAAGTGCAAGCTTCGAATGAGACACCAGTTGGCTTTTATTTCCTTAGTAGTCGGGTTAAGGGTTAAACTTTATGCTATCTGTAAAAGTAAATTATTTGGGGAGTGAAATTAATGTGGATGAAAACTTTCAGCAGTATAGATATACTGAGTGCAGTGAAGATGTGGTGGTTTCTAAACGATTGACAGATAAATGCTACATATTTCCTCAAAGTGTGTTTTCGTCCAAATAACTGTAGTGCGCGTGAGTGACATGAATCCAATTTTTTATCTGCTACACTAGCTTGTATTAAGAGCTATAGTACTTCTTACATAACTAAATCGAACTTTGTAGGTTGTCATAACTAGTAACTTCCTAAAAGTTTGACTTAAAAGCAGAATTCCTCAGTACTATAGGTTGCGGTCGGAGTTTACTTCCATTTAGTAGTTCATAACTACAACAGCTCTACACATAATCACTTCTGCAGGGTTTTAAGGCTTACTCATTTGTCATCCACAATTAAAGGTTCATTCATGCTCTGATTTATGTTAGCGATCATAAGATTTTATTAAAATTCAGAAATTTTTTATGATATCAAACTTTTTTTTACTTTGTATTTCCCTCTAAAGATCCAGGGATCCAGCAACAGAAAATATTTTTCATGATATACTTGCAGAACTACACTCCTCATTACTACTTACTGATCATTTAACTGTAAAATCTGAAAGTATCACTCATTCAGAACATACCAATACCAAGTATTTAAAAACTGGCGAAGTACATCAAGAAAAACCAGATCGTGTAGAGGAAACATCTGATCAGTTGACAGGACCTATTTTTATTAGAATGCTCCTTATTTCTATACTTACTTATGAGTATATACACCAGCTTAAATTAGAACAAGATCTCAGCAAACCAAGTGGAAAAAAATCAGATGAAAATTCAAATATAGAGAGTCATTCTCCTCAAGAAGCTGAAAGCACTTCAGCCTCTACTGGCTTGATGACTAGTGAAGAAGAAAAAGTCATTCAGGTATTCAAATTCCACTGGTTTAGAATCTTGTGTCATTTAAAAGTGTATTGAGCTGGCTAGGTTTTCTTTCAAAAAGTTTGGCATCGTCAAGTAAGACCGTACAACGTACAATTTTTCTTCTTTTACTGAGTCTTTAGTGGCTTGTACCACAAATCTAATCTTTTTTAACATTGGTTTAAAGCAGAGTATCGGTAACTAAACATTCGCGGTAATTATGTTTAGCCTAATGTTATAAAGGTGAAATGACTTTAGATTTGCATTGTTTGCAAATATAGGATCTAATAATCGCTTACTAGTTCAACTAAAAGTGTTTACACTTTTTTTGTAAGAACACAGTGACTAGTTTGTTTTGTAGAAACCAGAAATTCAAACATTGTCTCCTAATCAAAACAATTTTACATATTTTTGAGAACATATGTATCTGAAAAATAGACTTAGGAAAAAGCATTTGTGATTGAAAACCGAAAATCTAAAATCTGGAATATATGGTTTTAATGAAGTCTTACTGTGTACATGTCAAAAAAATCTCGCTGTATCAAAAACATTTGCAGATTGTTTCTACTATCTAAAGAAATCTTTGAATCCAGTGTGAAATAATTGAATTGGAACTTTAGTTTCCGTCATTCCATGTACTGTTATAGGTGTGTGAGCACTTTTCACTTCCCACTTGTTCACACCGTGGAAAGACATTTCTTCTTGAGATATGTAAAAATAAAACGGAGTTATGGGGTGATCTTGACGACCTGAGAGCATGACCGCAGAGCCCAATGAACAACTACACTCCATACACATTATTTTTGCTACCAGCTTCAAATGTATTACCTCTGCACTTTAAAGGCTTTATCATTTTAGACGAAAATCTGTGGAACATGAGTGATACCAATAAATATAAAATTAGGTAATCGAGCTTTTAGAGTCAAACAGCTTTGTAATGAAGGTTGATGGTTCCTGATGATGTTGGATAGTAGCGGAGCTGTAATGCTAACCAACTGAATTTTGTTAGACATATGCAATTAAATTCCATCTCAGTTACCGAACAGTAACATTATCTATACAAATATTCGTCAAGATTAGAACGAATAGTTTGACAATAATTGGGCGCCGAGTATAGAGAATTCATTATATGTGAAAAAATTATATTTGAAATAGTCTCAGCGATTGAAATTTAAATAATTCCAACGTTTCGTCCAGCCAACTTGTCTGGACTTCTTCAGGGAAATAATCAAAATCAAAAACATCAAAGAAATATATAGTGTTTTTACAATCATATCAAAATCTCTCATACTTTTTAATCCAATCATATTTGGATGTCGAAGTTTTTGTAAACAGGAACGTTGGAATTATTTAAATTTCAATCGCTGAGACTATTTCAAATATAAATTTTTCACATATAATGAGTAACATCGTTGATAGATCTGATCATTTTGAGTCCAATCCCAAATCAAGTTTAGCGTGTTTATTGCTTACGAAAACAAAATAGCTGTTCCATGCTCTGTGATTTTCAATTGTTTTCTATTTGGAATCACTGTTAATAACTGTTTTCAAACAGTAGGAATATCGATTGCTTTTAATAAACATAAAATGTCTATTAGTTGTTTTCTAACCATGTTATCAGTACGCTTTCAAATGGATACCTTTGATTTTCTTAAAAATTGCTTTTTTATATAAATATATGACTTATTTATTCCCGTATACCCATTTAACTGAGTATTTAGTTCTTTTTAGGATCTTGGAAAGACCGTTCTGTACCAGTTAATCTAGCCTTTCTCAAATGTCAGTTTACTTTTTTCATAAGAGTTTCAATCTAGTAGTGTCGAATAGTCATACTGTAGTCCGAAATTCTTCGAAAAAACAAGTCGATTTATGAAATCATCCTAATACAGTTTACAACACATCAAAAATTGTTTAGAACGATTTACTATACTTCAGCATTTTCATACGTTATTTAAGTCTGTATAAATGATCAAACAAATGTATTAAGTGAAATTCATCTTTGATAAACTTCTTTCACTAAGTGTTTTGTAACTAATTATGGTTTCCAATACTTTCAATACCCATTTTAGACTGATTCTTCCGATAATTGTTCATCTGCAGTGGCTAATAAATGTGAATCATCTTCAGGCACGGCTATACCTGATCTTTATGAACCGTTATCATTCGCTTTAAGCATCGGAGAACTCTATTTAACACATGTATGTAGACAAATCTACTGTCGTCTAGGTCAGTTCATGGAAGACCCTAAGGGAAAACCAAATAATTCAGGTATCTGCAAATTCTTATGATTAATGTATAGATTTTCCAGTATGTTCCGATCCATCTAATCTTTCAGAAAATCCGAATTGCAACCATATTCCAAGTGACCAGCCACTACTCAGTAATGTTTCGTCAACCGAACACCCTGAAGCTATATCAGGTAACCTTTTCTATTAACTTAAAAAATAATTTGCATGTTAATATATATTTTCGAAATGAGGTATAAGTATACTCTTATATTTAGAACTATATATCAACCATTTATTTATCACTGTATTGTTCATGAAAAGTCTTTTCAGAATTTATCATTTTTGTACAGTTGCCTAAATTTTCTAATTAATTATGGACCACTTAGATACGTCATTATTTCATGTCCAATCATTTTTTTCAACATCAGCGTTCTATAGAAGCAATCATATTATCTACGTGATTTTATTGATATCCAACCCATTGTACTATTTGCTGACAATAATGGTTTTATTCAAATTACTTGTGATTCAAAATTGCTTTGTTTTTCGAAAATGCCATACATGAGAACAATAAGCTCTTATTTTATGGCTTACCAACTCATCGTGACATTCTATTAATTTTTAACAAAGAAATTTATCACGGCTTTATTAAAAGATTTCGAGACTTGCATTATAGACAAATAATTTTCGTATTTTTTATTAAGTTATCAATCAGCAATATAATCTTTGGATAAATATTAATTGACTGTTGAGGATAAGTTCTTTATTTATTATTTGTTATGCTTTTCGATGATAACGCAATATGTGTAATCCTCTTAATCTGTAGTGACTTTCATAACGTTCATTCAAAATGTTTGCACATGATATTCGTATGGTACGTTTTTCCTACTCAGGGAATAAATGCAAGAAAAAAATGCAGGACGGTATTTTATATTCTGAAAAGATCTTTTTTATGTCAGTCAGTCATTCATACTAAACGTGGAACCAGGCACATATTTGCATCGGTTCAAGTTGTTACACCACATCACCATTGTAAGATGCCAGAGTAGTGTAAGTATAAGTAAGTAACAGTATATTAATGGTAGTAGGAAATATTAGACAGAAAATATGACTCGAGAGGAAAGTATGGATTCATGGAATTTTGGTTATAACAGAGAGTCTTCTATTCCTTTAAAGTGTATACAGATAAAACTCTACTTCTTTTGTCTATTTTTTCGTGATGCAATAACGCCTGACCACAACTATTTACTATTTCTGTAAAAATCTTATGATACGACAGTTAATTGTATATAATACCAATCTACAGAGTTGTTGTAAGTGATTACTGAACAAACAAACCAGGCTTTTATGTTAGCTATAAATTTTCCAGTAATGCGTTTTTCTCAATGAATATTTATTTATTTAACTAGAACTTGTCAATCCTGACGATGAATTAGACGATTCTGGTGATATTAAATGTACAAGGACTAACTCACACGAAAGTATGCACAGTACTACAGATAACGATGAGGACGATGAAGGTCATACAAGACTACGATTTCGTAGATACTCTTCAGATGAAGATTCAGAACATGAGTTCGTAGAAAGGGGAACTGACGAAAATGATAACGATTCAGATACAGATTTTTGGGGTTCTGATGACTCTAGTTTATTGCATTCACAAGTATGTACTATTTACACAGTTTTAATACATTTTTCGTACTATACAAGGTACCATCGAAAGTAAATTCGATTTTCAAGTGAATGATTTCATAATCCTCATGCTGCACTTACACTGTCGTAAACAAATTGTTATTATAAACTAAAATGCAGACTACAAAGCCTCAGTAGATTTACCTTAATAGGCTATATAAATATGTGTATTGTTTAAATTTAATCTTCCATATTAATTGTTTATGTTTAATTCATTCTTTTAGGAATCTTACTATTGCTTTTCCTAGGTTTTATAAGTACTACTTAACCAGTAGTATGTACTGTTTACACAGTTTTAATACATCTTTCGTACTATACAAGGTACCAACCCACTATGTCCTGGGCCTTCCTTTCTAGTTCTGTCCAATTTTTGTTCATTTTTCTCATGTCTGTCTCCATTTCTTGGCGTAATGTGTCCGTTGGTCTTTCTCTCTTCTTTTGGCCTTCAGGATTAATTGAGCTATACTCGTCTCTGTATTAGTCATAATTTCCCTCGACCGCATTATCTCCAGTACGAAACCTAATACAAACCTAATATAAATCCCCATGCACTAGATGTTGCAGTTGTTATCCTAAGGTTTATCTATAGCATAGTTTTAGAGTAACCACAATGAGGAACCACAATCTGTTGTTGGGTATGTTGTTTCCGATTGTTAGATAGATGAGGCTCAAGTGTACAAAAAAAATACTTCGTCGCTTTTGACTGTTTTGTGATTCTGCCATAAATATACATTGTGATATAACTGATCAATAGATACTTAGCTGGGAAATCGTATTCATTGTTTTCATTTTTAGGATGAGATTAATTCTACCGGTACACCATCAGACGATGATCTTGATATTTTATCTGATGATCGGTTGAGGCGTGCTTCCAAACTGAACCGAATGGGGTCTCAACGAGATGCAAAACAATTAAAAACGAATGATTCGTCAAAATATCTTCCAGAATCCCGTTCAGTAAGTAAGGATGTAAGAAGTACACTGACTTGTATTTCAGAGGAGGAAGCGATACAAGAAGGCAAGACGGAGAAAGTAGAAGGTGAGCTTCAGTCAATTCAAAATATCTATATTTTGTTTAGTTTTTGTTTGGAAATGGATCAAAATATATCAAAACAGTTGGTATGTGATTACAAGTAATCTATGCAAAATATACATAGCCTATTTTCTCAAATGAATGAGACTAAAAATACTAATATCTAAGTTCATAACTTATAAATAGTTTGAGATGTGATCTTAGTTATAACAAAATAATACCAATATAACAAACTCAAAATGTCGTTTATTTTGCTCCTTGACTTTTTTTGATTGATGAACTTCTTAATTTAGTCGATCATAAATATCGTAGGACCTGATGCGAATGTGCTTCCACCCAAGTTGCCACGTAATATCAACACACGACGAGAGAAAATTGACAAGTTGTGTCGTAAAAAAATATTGAAATAATAATACTATTACTTATACCAGAAAATTAAATATCAACAATATTGTTTAAAGTGGTGAAGTGTGAAATAAACCCAACATTTAGAGGAAAACAAACAATCCGTACCACTGTAATTCATTTTAGGCCACGTAACTCAATATTTTTAACCATCGATTGCGATTATATTTTATTCATCATTTACTTGACATATTTAGTGATATCTGCTTTTGTAGGGGTTGATACTTTATGACAAATTAATGATTTTGGATGAAGTTTCTCTGTATTTAGATTTTATTGTTGCAATGGCAATAAAAAATGATTGCATTTTAAACATATTATCATATCAGATTAATTATCCTTTATTTTGATAAATCTGGTCAACAATGTTTGTAGTATTATTCATTGACTATTAGTATATTGTTGCAATGTAATGTCTTTTCACTTACAGCTTTTCTTCAGGAAGTCTATTTTTTCATGTATACGGATAATGATGAGATATTTACAATGATCACTTTACATGTCATTAGTGAAAGCTTTTTTATGGAGAATAGATGAAAATAAAAGTTTGATGCGACATATCCTGAGAAGTTTCATTTTAGACAAACGAATATTTTAGACTTTTAAATGTTTCTTGAGAAATGTGTTCTGGGGATAGTGCAACAAAGTGAGACGTTATCAAACAGCTTAGAATAGAAACCAATCTCGGTTCTGTTGTAACTTTCTTTTACTTTCTTCATATAAGTGAGAGAAACTTCTTTAACTGAAAGATTTCATTCTGGTTATTATTTTTTAAATGAACTGCTGGTCCCATTTGTATTATTATTTTTTACTCCCCTAAACTAATTGATTTGATTCTTTTTATTATACTCACCTTCGTTTCTCCATCTCTTAAGAATCTCATTTTCTTATTATGTGTCGCATATATATTTTGGTGTCCATTTGTACCAATGTTTGTGTATTTAAAGAAAAGTAAAAATAGAAAAGAAGTATTAACAAAGTTTATGGATAATATTTCTTGTGATTTGTTAGAATTTATCAACATACTATCCTGATCACCATGAACTCGAGAGTATTGTTGGTATACAGCAGTGTAGTAATATCTCTTGATTGTCCTCAGGATTGAATCATTTCATTTTAAAATATGTTACGAAGAAACTTTCCTCTTTCTCTCTTCACATTCCAAAGCTTTTTTATAAATAATAAGGTTGCTAGTGCAGTTGTGTTGGGTTTTTAAGTTAATACTGCGTATGTGATTGAACTATTCACTCTTTGAAAGGACCTTATTACTTAGACAGTATTCTTATTGAAATTATGCCAGAAATTGTCCTCCACAGTCCTTAGTATTGAGTTGAAGCATATGCAAAAATACCCAGTTTTTTGTACTCAAAGTTTAGTACCATTTCCATTTTATTGTTTTCTAAAAATAATAATTGGCGTATTAATCTAAAATTTCTAAAATCAGAGTTACTTTCATGTATAAAAATAAGTTTGCTTCATGTATATACTACATTTTCACTTCATCTTAACAGTTCCTTCACTGGTTTCTCAATCATCTTCAGACAATGCTAAGGAATCAGTACATCATGAGTAAGTAATATTTTCCTTGTTCGCCCCTGTAATTTATCAGTACGTTGATCTGTCACTGGTTAGTAACTTACTGTTGTCTAGTCCCCAGTATAATGAAACAGTTTGATTATTACTCATTGGACATTTAATGCATAATTTTACTAAACAATTCACTAAACACAGTATTCAAAACAGATCTAATCTCTCTCCTCGATATGAAGGCGAAGGCTTCTAAGATTTGATTAAACGAAATTTCATCTGTTAAAATCGATGAATAGAATGCTAATCGATAGATGAACGCAATGATATGATGTGTGATCGAGTGATGGCTTCTCACGAAACCACATAATTAACTTAAGCCCCTGAATAGTTAAGAATCGAAGACAAGACCATTAGCCAGATGAAAGTTTTTCATGTAATAAAATAACATGTTTATATACAAAATATGAACACAAAATAAATATGATAAAATGTTGTGGGTGATTGGAAAAAATTAGTTTGTAAGTCACTCATTTTCCAATCCACTATGACCTGACTGATAAGCCCAATCTTTTGACATCATATCACTTGACTTGTTCTCTATTTCACCCAGGCAATAAATGAGTGTTAAACCAGTACAATTAAATACTGAACACACTTTTCGAACTTTGTTTCTTTATTAAAATATATCCATCATAGTCACTGTTCCTTATATTGAAATCAATGCTCTAATTGCTCTAAAATGACCCGTTATTTCGTTTACTGTTTCTGCTGCTTTATACACTTCTTTCTGTTTAATTAAATGTTTTTGAATTTCCTATAGTTGAAGCTTTCCAGGATATTTACATCCCTAAAATCAAACATTTTACTGTCTAAACATATCTATATCTTCATTTTTATGTTCAGACAAAATTATCCACTTTTACTCCTGACTTCTGGAAAGTTTCGATTCTTCTCAGGTTCTATTCTTACCAAGATTCATTTCTCCAATCACCTTTTTGTCTGTAGTTGAAAATTTCCAGGGTTCGTGCAACTAACCTGACCTATTCAGATTTTTCGTGTTATTATTTTCCGTATTGCTTATCTTAATAATTAATTCAAGTGACTGAATTTATATTTCTCACTTTTTTAGTTGTAAATATTATGTTTTCATCTCACTTTTTACTGAAAGGCAGATACACTATTTATACACTCAAGATGTGTTGGTGTTTCGTGACCAACAACCGATTAAATGACTGAAATTTTCATTTTGAACCTATCATTTCAATCTTTCTACATTACTGTATGTAAAAAAGAAGGTAATTCATCTATGAAATTCCTTTCTATTATAACTTTCACAGCTAGTTATATACTATACCGCGTTGAATGCACCGGTTCTCGTCCGATTATAACTTTAAATCACACTAATCGAATACCGCTCATACTTCACAATATAATCACCAAAAGTTATTCATGTTGTCCCATCTTCACTTTTTTTCTAAAGCACAAAAGGTAACGAGTTCGAACTTGCTTTCACCTAAATATGCTTGATCAGATAGGTATGCTATTGTTAATCGTTACCTTGTAATCCAATATACAAACTTATTTTTTTATTTGTTGATTTACATTTCATTCTATTCAATTGGTTAATATTGTTTCTCGTTTATTATTTATCTGTTACTTATGACTCATAATCTGTAGTAAATAGTAAACAATAGTTGTTTAACACCTATTTCTCTTCCAACTTCATCAATGAGATTTAATAGCAAAAATACATTTCTTTTTTATATGTTTAATATTTAATTAAAATGATTATTTTACTTCTGTTTGCTTTCATAGTTCTACTGTTGATTCTGTGGAGAAAAATATATGTCACTCTTCAAAATGTCATTCAGATTCTATTAAAGAGAATTTATCAGATTATCCTTCTGTTCAATTTGACAAAAATTCTTATGACTCAAATACAGATATAACAACACGTATTAGTCTATTTAGTCGACTTTATTTATTTTCTGCTGTCAAATTGTTTTTGGATTGGCTTTCAAGTTCACAATTTCAACACTTAAATTTATCTTTTTTTCAAAATATCAATTCCACATTAACAGATAATACAATTAATAAGTCACAGAAACCTAGTAGAGCTAGTATTATTTGGCAGGCATCTGTAGAAAAATTCGTATCACAACTAATCCCATTGTTAAATAGTATTCATCCAATATTCGATCAAATGTCTCATGAAATATTGTGCAAAAATGTAACCAACACGTCAAAATCATGTGAGATTAGTCATTTTGATGAAAACGAACAGTTACGTGTGGATTCATGTACTCACTTGACTGAATCAAGTAAGTTTGATTACAGTAGTATAATAATTAATTGATTGCTTGATATATATATATATATATATATATATATATATATATATCGGTTCAGCATGAAATTGAAGGAGTGATAAAAGCGATATTGATTTCAGTGTAAATCTAAGAGTAATAAATACAATGTAAATAGAATGAATGAGGTCGAAAAGTAGAAGTATAGAATTGTACGGAGCGTAAGAGTCCAAGGGAGAATACAGCTGCATCACTGCAACCACTTTTAAACAATATACAAACTAGAAAACTTACACTTCACACGGCTTACGCCACTAGTCAGCCACCTCATAAACTAATTTCTCGTCATGATCAGTCTTTCCTTAACCGACTTGGAATTTACTCTTGTCTTAGCTGGTTTAATGTGTTACAGGCTACGTGATGTATACGGTTGCTTAACATGAAAATTTTAATACAGAACTTATGTTCTGATATCGAATTCCCTATAAGGAATATTGGTAATCTCTTATTATATAGGATTTAAAATAGTCCATAATTTAGATAACACCTTGGTTATTCTTTTTAAGTCTTCCGAGAGACTTCCACGTCGTGCATTATTTGCCGACCCTGGGACTGGTTGGAAAAAGCGGAGAGGAGGTCAGTGTATGACATGGTGTCATGGCATGAAAGAAAGCTGCAATGGGCTAGCTTCTGTTGGTCCTTCACGACTCCCTGGCTGGGGTCCGAGAGATGGTGCAACACAGTGGCTAGAGACGTTATCAGATATGGCTCAGAATAGAAGCCAGTGGCGATCCTGCTGCAACCTTCTTTTACTTTCTACATAAAGAATGGTTCTAACTTTCTTAACTGAAAGAGTCTTCTGGTTGTACATTTCAGTTCGCCTTATCTTTTCATCCCTTCTCTTCCTACTTTCATTATTTTGTGTGGCGCATATGTACCTGGTGGCCTTTTGTACCAATATATATGTGTTTAAATAAATAAATAAATTCTTTTTAAGGCAGTATACAAACTAATAAAGATTAAAAATCTATGCCTTAGTGTAGAAATGACATGTTTAGTTCTAGATAAGTTCTGAGATATAATCTCGTTGAAAATATTACTTTTACACCTTCAGTGTTTTTATACTCAACGAAAATTAAAAGTGATTTAATGTAATGCTGTAACTTACTGCAACTTTGCATTTTTATTTTCGTAGTCATAAAATAAACTCTACAACATTTCAGTTGGAAGCAATATACTACTATTATGAGTAACTTAGTCATTCTAGTTTGCTCTTTAAAGAAATTTTTCCCAACTTATTAGTAGGTTATATGGATGATCAATGTAAAACAAGCCTCTACAGTAAATTACTAACGCTTATTTTAAGGCTGTGTTCACTTATTTCTTGGAACAAATGAATACCTTCAATGCACTCTGAGTATCTTTCCACAGCGCAATATAGCCATTTTCAATATGGAGGAAAAGATTGTAACAGGTTTATGATATAAACATTCAATATATATTTCTGTAAGTTATGAAATACCGGTTCACACTCTTTATGTTGTATTAATTCGTTCACTCACTTATAGAATTCTAGGTTTACGCCCTTCAACTTTGATCAATCCTTTTATAATGTGACTGGTTTAAACTTGTCAAGTCAACTTACAAGCATTTAAATCCTCAAATTGATATACTTTACTTGAAATTTGTCAGGCTATAATGTTGTCATGTTACTTGATCATATTATAAAAGTTTTCAATTTTTTTCATATAGTTTGTGTAATAATCTTCATATGTATATATACACTGTGCATATTGTTTTACTCGATTTTCATTAAAGATACCGATGATAAAACTAAGTTCAACATCGTTCATCATTTATCACATGATGTTTACCGGACAATAGAAAAACTGTTTTCTCAACAAATTCCCAATTCAAATAAGTTTCCTGTTGAAGAACAAAATGGATCAGGGAAAAATCTTACAAAAGAAACTATAATCCATAATGATGAAAAATCCAAAATTTATCCTCTTCCTGAAGATTGGTTATTACTTGGCTTACCATCAATGAATTGTATTCATGAAAAAATCGATTTTCATAATGGATGCATATCACCGTCATTAAATGAAATAGACGAAGTAAGTATTTGCTTTCTTATCTATTACTTTCTCTGATGAAATCTCAATAAATATATGTATAAATCATTTACTTAAGCTGTACATTCGTATATATAGTGATATGGAAAATACATGTCTATAGGAGGCTAGAAGTTATTGCATTATAAATGGATTCGACAATAAATAACAAATGAGGTGGCGTACTAATCAAGGGGTAAGGGAGAAAATAATTTATGGGTCAGATAATATATCCCAAAACACTATCTTAAAGAACTACTCCTAGGATGCACGCTCAATGTACAATTTAAATTTAATGATGGTTTCTATAGACAAACAGATGGAGTTGCAATGGGCTCTCCATTGGGTCCTCTTTTGGCTGATTGTTTCATGGCCAATCTAGAAAATTCAGCACTTCGTCCAATAATCGAGAAATTTCATTTATATAAGAGATATATGGATGATACCTTCATTATTTGTGATGATAACATGGACCACAATGAAATATTAAATATTTTCAATAACTGTCACCCTTCAATTCAATTTACCTTAGAGGCAGAATCGAACCACGAATTCCATTTTCTTGATGTCCATTTGAAAAGATTGCCTGATGGTTATTTACAAAGATCTATGTATAGAAAACCCACTTGGAATGGACAATACACGAATTTCCATAGTTGGGTTCCATTGAGTCGAAAGAGGAACTTAATTCACTCTTTGTCATCTAGGATTAAGCGAATCTGTTCTAGTGACACAATAAATGAAGAATTACTTCATCTTCGACAGACCCTCATCAAAAATGGTTATCCACCGAGGTTCGTTGATAGCAACTTAACATCTAGACGTCAGCAACAAATAACTTTGACGGTGCAGAAGAAAACCTTGTTTATGAATATGGAATTCAAGGGAGACACGGCTGCTGAAATCCTGAATAAACGGATTTCAAAAACGTTGAATAAAACTTTCTACACAGCCAAGCTCCGAATCGTTTTCTCTAGCCGGCCTACCATTCGGGGGGGGGTGTTAAGGATAAGCTTTCGCTTTGGGCCACATCGATGTGTATTTATAAATTTACTTGCTCATGTGGAGCACGTTATATAGGCCGCACAAAGCGATCGCTTTCCAAACGTATCTCTGAACACTATCCAGCTTGGCTCCTAAAAGGTGAATGTAAGAAGATAACCAGTTTGATACAAGAGCACTTGATCAATTGCGGACACATTGCTCCAAAAGAGACGTCTTTTAAAATAATCTATAGAGTTAAAGGAACCGGATCAAAGGGAGGTCGAATCAATATTTTATGCACTGCTGAGGCATTGGCATATACGAATGTACAGCTTATGTAAATGATTTCGTCGAAAAGAAAATTTTCTTCGCTGAATTCTCTTTTTCTTATTCAATGACATTATGAGTTATTTTAGTTATATATATAAATAACTACTTAAATTTCTTTTTGGATTTACTGTGAACGTGTAGTTTAACAATTCCGGTACTTGGTTTTCAGACTGTCGATTAAAGAGTTAATGCTTCTCTTAAGTACTATTTAAACAGTCGGTTATTGTCACAACGATCCACATGGTGTTTATAACCATCAAATTGTAGAAGCCTCTGTCGGAGTGATTATTCCAAACTCTTGGTTCAGTAATCGACAGCTGAAGCCTGGACTATTGAACCGCTAGTTGATTTTCATCAATCATATATTTGCTGATAAATCGAATTGTTCGTCCAACGTTGATTAGTCCTAATAAGTCTATTTGAATATGAATCTTTAAGTAATGTTCAATAAATTAGTGGGGTATTATTTCATGAGCGTATAGTCGTCTTGTTCTTGTTTTGATATGGAAGTCGATCTCAATTGCAGTAATTTTCATAAATATCCTTTCTAATACTTTCTGTCTACAAATTAGTTTTTTTTACTTTGTCCTTATACTCTAGACCGTACTTCGGTGCACCTCCCTTACGTTTCATGGGTGCAGTTTAGCATCATACAGTGGTCAATTGAGTTTATATGTTACACATAATTCTACTGGAAATGGTCATCGACCTTTTAAGTGTGATATACCATTAACTAATGTTGCTTGTTTATCCTCTTCCAATAATTCTAATTGGCAACATTCGAGCCGACGGAGACGTCGTGGTCGTCGATATCAGTTCTATCCTGGCTATGGAACATGTGATCGTTACAGTTCTTCCTGTCCCAATACTGGTTATCAACATAACAGAACTGATCCTCGTAATACATGTGTACCTCATAGAGGTCACTCCTATCGGGAACATGCTAGATATTCAGGCTCGGCTAAAGGACACAAGTCATATTATGATTCCAGACATCGTAACAGACACTCACAACAAGCGGATCATCATCATAACGATTGGGATACAATAGAGTCTGTTCAACATTTAGAAGTTTCACAATCTGATGTTCCTCAATCTGTCTCCAAAAGTAATGCACAAAGATCTGATTCATCTTCAGTGGTTAAATGTGATACAGAATTATCTGATAAACCTCAAGTGAGCTTATTATTTCAGTAAAGCTGAAATAAATTTCATTTGTTTTCAACTAAATAATGTTTTTTCGCACCGAATTATTGCTGATGACTGACTATTGACTGCCGTATGTATTAACGTTCATAGTTCGTTTTCAAATGTCTTAGAGGCGTATTAAGCAAATTATAGTATCATTAGCACTTGTCATTCTCCACATACCTGAGATTGAGTAGAATATATATATACAACTTCAAGTAATTTAATTTATAAAGCTTTTAGCTCAATACTTAGACTAAATCTCTTTGTTATAAATGTACAGAAAGTAAGTTCGAAAACAAGATCTTATTCATATTGGGAAATGAAAAGTAGTCCCTGATACTCTTTCTAGTTGTTGCGAAGTGACAAAGTCCAATAGTGTACTTGGAATTAGAAGTGGATGAATGGATATTCTGACTAATAAGTTTCAGTAACTTGTAAATAATAATCGCTTTTTTTCTCTCATTATTTTACTAAATATAACCATTTTTGTCTTTAGATTAATTCAACAGAAACTGACCAGTCACGTCGAGATCAAGCTATGCGAGATATGGCTCGTCTTCGGCTACTCAATGAAGTGGATCAATTAGAACGTCAATTTCGTAATCAATCACCTCTTTCATCCACTAAAAGAAGCACTAGTACTGAGTCTTCCATGCAGAACTCAGATTCAAATATTCAGAATAAAAACTTGGAATTTGATATTAACAAAAGCTTTTTGTCACCTTTTCTTGTCATAGATGCTTACTGCTTAACCAGCCATTTACCCATGGTCAAACAATTAGTCAGTTCTAATCGTTTCATTTTAATCATACCACAAGCAGGTTAGTTGTATTGATTTCAGATTGGTGTAAATTTATGGATTTTTTAAACCATAATACTTTTTAATTCTCACCTCTTCATGCCACATATGTATGCTTTATTTTAATTTTTAGTAAAACTTGTTCAGATGTATTTATTTCTATACCGCCCTACATCAAATAAGCATTCGTTACTTATTCGTTCAAATGTATTTTGACATTCATCACTAAATATATTGACATATTATCTAAATTTCTTTGTGCCTACATTAAATGATTTAGTGTTTCATAGTAGATTGCACTACTATTCATATGCTTTATTGTTATATACTGTATGTATTTCTCTATTAAAAGGTTTATGTTTAAGAAATTCACTCTATTGATTGAAAATTTATCTGCATAACTAATTTTTTCGTTGATCATTGAAATATTTATCACTCTATACTAACATCTCAATGTTTTATGATATTCAAAATATGACTAGCAGTGGAATCCAGGACGTACGTTTCTTTTTATTTGGGATTCATCATCTGAACGTACCTTCATCCCAATACTGGTGTTTACACAAAGACTTTGTATATTTCGCTTCAAATACCAACAGATTATCGATTGTGATACTAAGTCTAGGTAATCACTGGCTTGTGTAACAGGTATAAGTCTAATTTGTAATAGTTTGTGTCTTCTCCCTGTGTATGTCAAATATTCCACTGCTGGCCAATATCCTATCTTAATAAAAGCTAACTGAATGGCAATATTGCGACAATTCGCTCAGGGTTCACGTATACCATAAAGAAATTGGTCAACTTCAGACATTAACATCAATAACAGTAAAATAGAAAACCTTACAAATAAAATTTCAATATATCCATTAATATTCGAAGATGAGTGCATATTAAACACATTGATGCTTTATAATGAAAACATTTATCAAAAAGAACCCTTGTATTCTACAAAAAGTTTCAAAAGAGCTTTTTTTTATCTAGGATATATCATTATTACTTAAACAGGAACTATACCTTCATGATTTAAGCATTTGTCTTTTAACTAGTGAGTTTCGGACTTCAACCTCTCACCATCTACTTATTTTTAAGCAATCGAATAGTGTCATTAATCCTAAGATAATCTTGAAATATTTCTTGAAAATTGAAATATGTGTATAAAAATTGTTAATTATTAAGACGCTAAAAGATACTTCAAAGTAGAATCACATGTGAATTTGCTCCAATTTTGCCGTACTGACTCATCAAGCTTTTTAAACGTTACTGAAGTTTAAGAACATTGGTTATCATGTAGATATCATTTGCCCTTAAAAAAGTGGTATTTGGAGGTACTCTTTGAATAGTTTTCTATACTTAGTAAATAGATGTTTATGAATCTTCAGTTTTCCTTTGGTGCTACATGTTACTATTGCGCAACTATGTAATATACAAATTTTTAAAAGTTTAAATAATAAATGGGGAATTATGCCCAATAATTGCCATGTTCATTCTACAAGGATGTTAATTAAATTTGTGATATAATTCTCGAGTTGTCATTTAAAGCTTAAAAACAATAGTTCAGTTACTTATATGCCCACTCGACTGTAAATTTGAACGATGGGTCCTTTTAGGTTGTTAAATTCGCATGACATATACCTTCTGTTTATTATATATTTTATTTTGTAGGTGTTAAGAGGTTATAACAGTAAACTGTTAATGGATAGAATTTTCGGACTAATAATTATAAAAACTTCTATCATTTAGTTTATCTCTTTAGTCGGATTTAAAAATGAAGCTTATCACATCCATATGTACATTTCTCATACTCATTGTATTTTCCTATCTAATGTAAACTCGCCAGTTATTTCCCATTTGGATTACTTGAAGAAAACAATGGCATCCGCTAGAGTAGCGATACGATATCTGGAACATGAAGCTCACGGTGGCAACCGGTAAGTTTCATTTACAATTACGTTTCGTACTATGAAATAGTTTGACTTGGTTTAATTTTCACTATACCCCTATACTACTTTGCGTAAAAGAAAGTAAGCTAACTAAAACATCTTTTAAAGTTGATTAGTAGTCTTCATTATATATTCACAAAAAATTACTCGGTTTTCAGTTTTTTGGCAAGTGTCAGATCAGATCTTGGTATTAGTATTGAGGTGCTTTTCATGATAGTTGTTATGATCAGAGATTGACATCCGTCAGTGTAACTTTTAAATCTCATAGCAGTCGACAGCTGCATACCTTAGTTTTGTAAACTTCTGCAATGTGTATTCATGTAGTTCAAACCACATATGACTTTCATATTTGACTACAAGCCATGATTTTATTTAGCCAATTAGTTTAAATTCAGTGATCCTCGATTGCTCACTTCAATTAATTAATGCTATGCTACAACCATCATCCTATCTCATTGGTAAGTAACTGCCTGATATCTGATTTAGTTGACCACAAAATTCTTGACTTCTCTGCGTAGACCTCACGAAATTCATTTGGAAACCAGTCACTAATGCTTCCATAACTATGATTACAAATCGCCACAAATCAAACTAACTTCCTATAGTTGTTTCAAGGTTGTTAATATTTTTCACGGCAATAGACAAATGATTTTTCAAATAGTATAATAAATCCTTAAATAATCAAATCGTTGAAATCTTTCCAGATGATTAGTGGATTACTTTTTATTTAAGAATAAGCTGTTTAATAATGAAAAGGCTTTGTGATATGCAATTTTCCTTTTGTATGAAATAAATTTTTCTTAATTATATTTAACCCGAATTTCTGTTTTATTTTGATTGCCTGAGTCCAAGGTAACAACGAGCATTGTTCGCTATCAGATCATTATAATATTGCAAAATACTGATGCAATTGTTCCTCATTCTTCTACTTTATGTTATCAGTTATCTGCGGTTACAAAAACCAGATGAACAGCCGAATCGACCCATTGAACTTCATCGTCAAGACGCCGTACATAACGATGCTCAAGATTTGATAACCGATACGGAAGAAGAGGAACCTAAAGTATCCACCAACCAAAGCTTAAATCTTCGTGTTGTAAGAAGATGGGTTAATATCCTGGATTGTGCATCTTACTTTGCACAGGTGAGCACATTTGTATTAGAACTTTTCGGTATTTAGTATTAGTTCGTGTGATCCATTTTTTCAATCGATTACGTCACAAGAGTATTTGTGCACTTCTCTTATGTGGGATTCTCTGTAACTTGTTTACATTTTCACTAGAATTTAGAAATTTTCCACCTCGTTTTTAAACATCATTTTTGAACCACCGAGGTTTACTGTTAAGTTATAAACAAATCATTTTAATGACACAATCTCACAAAAATTTTATTTGACAACTGGATTTCATTAATCAGCATTAAAAATAACGTTTTATACTTGTTTTACGGTTTAACTAATATCCATATTACATTAATTAATTGTACATATTAATATATGATTTGAAGTGGATACCAAGTCTGGATTTCAATGTTATCGCGACATGTGTATCTGCATGTGTAATCGGATAACAAGTTAAAATGAAGTGTAAATCCAAAATTCTATAAATTATCACCATTAATTGCTGCATAACCGATTTCGATATGTAAAACTAGTTTCTATAATCCACATTTTTCCTTAAGATAATCAAATTTAGCTAATAATCTGAATCCGTTTTTTCTCTTTCTTCCTAATTAAGACACTCAAAGATTCAAACAAATCATCTGATTTAACATCTGTAAACAAAAACTCTTTGCTAAAACAAGCTACCAGTTCAGATGAACAGGATATCAATGACCTCCTATATTCGCTTAATATTTCACCTCCATATGTTGATCTACTAAATAAAGAATGCATTACAAATGAATTGAATGAGTTGTCACTTACTAAAACAGCACCTGTGACCATTCTGATTGGATTTAGAAATACATCCATCGACGATACAATAGTCCCTCAAGACTTTTTAAAGCTTGCACTAAATCATGGTATGTCTTATACATTAGTTTACTGTTTACCTATCAGCGTTTGATTTATTTATACACATATTTATTTGAAGTTGTTAATTTCCTAAAATCATCAATAATAATTTTGGTTATTGTGTTATCAATTATTTTCAATTGTCACCAGTATTGAAAAAAATTGGTTCCTTTTATTAGCATAATTTCCAAAAAATTTAATAACTTAATTGACAGAACATAACTTATAGTGTTCACTTTTAATAGATTACTTTCAATTTTTAAGGTGACTAGTAAGCTGTATTTATATGATGTAAGGTGATGGTTGGAGGTGGTCGACAGGAAACCCTGGACCCAGGTTTTGTGCTATTTGACGCTTGTCGCGATATCAAATCACCTAGACTAGTGACGACAAAAAAATAAAATTCAGTCAGCACTAAGAAGGACTTGGAATGCATGACGTTGTTCACTACCCAGTGATCAATCAATTGTACAGTTGCATTCCAAGACGAATTTCATACTAAAATTGTGAAGTTATGTTATCTATTTTTAAGGTCTACTGATATAGTAATTTTAATTTCTTTCGTGAGAAAAATAAGTATATATTAAATTATATTAATTAAATTTTCACAGAAATAATAATACTTCCTCCTAATTTTTCAATATTCATCGGACTGAGTAAACTATTTCAGTGTTGCTGATTGATTTCTGTTACTCATTTACGAAGTGCAATTTTATGCATTTCCCTTTGGGTCACACTATTTATGCGAGGGTTGGTTATTACCATTCACCTACTCAAACCGAAATAGATGAAGTAGGGTTCAAATCTATTATTTACTGGTTTCTGAAGCTAAATACATCAAGCCTTAACTACTAAAATATAGTTGTCATGAGTTATCGTTACACTTTGGGTTTAATTAAAATGCATGCTGAAAGTCAGTCAGTCAGCTACAACGTTAGACCAGGCACACATATGCATCGGTCCAAGTTGCCATACCTCGTTAGCATAAGATCAACACCGGATTCATAGTATTTAATTTAGTGGTGGTGGTAGTATATAAATTATAGGTTGTATATAATGATATAGTACAGGAAGGAAGAAAGTTATGGAGCAATTTTAACCTCAAGGTTTAAGGGAGGATAAAGAGTGTATACACCTACGCCATTGTGATCGATTCTGAGCCATATCACACACAGTCTCCAACCATTGGATACGATAGTCACGCGGACCCCAACCAGGTAGTCTGCATCTGCCAATATGGCTCAGGCTAGAAGTTGGTGACTTCAAACACTGATGTCACGTTTTGGTTTGGCCGCCCCTAACTCTCTTCCAACCATCCTCAATACTGGTCATCATAGAGCGTCGTGGTAATCGGTGTTAGGGCATACGTAACACGTGGCCCAACCATCTCAGTCGATGAAGATTCATCACCTCATCAACTGATTTACCATCATTCCCCAATACCCTGTGTCTAACTTCACTATTACTTACCCGGTGATCTCAGCAGATGCGAGCAATATTTCTGAAGCATCTGTGGTCAAATACTAGTGGCTAATCCCACTAGTATGCGACAATGGTAGTATACTCGTATGGGGGAGCAATTAAGTCATACATTATCTGTTTTTGATTGTTTGGAAGCATATTTTACTAAAAGTCAAGTCTGAAAAAAACATTTAACATTCTATAATACTTCACGATATCTCACTGTCATTCTAATCTTTATGTTGTACGAAATATCAGTAGTTTTTTGATAGCGTATCCGAATTCGAAGCTACTTATTTTAAATTATTATAAAATAACAGTCAATAGTGAAATAACATTGAAAGATAATTCGGTGGATTACAGACAATCTAGTGTTTTAATAGTAATACTGGACCGGAATTTATTTCTTGAATTGCAGACGTTTTAATCTCCTTTTTTTAATCAATACTTTATTCGACTTCATGTACTATTTTTTCTGTATTATTTTCAAGGCGTACGGTTAGAATCGATTCGCTCCTTTATTCAACGTTGGAAAGCAATCAAAACATGATAAGAATAATGAAAAACGTATTTATATATATTCAACTGATGTAATATAATATTGTACAAAATAAGATTGTTTTATCTATCAGCTATTTTCTCTTTCCTATACCATTTAAATGCTTAAGATGATTTTGCTTTTTGTCAGTTATAGTGTGGTGAATGTTGTTAAGTCTTAATTGGGATCATGAACCAACCAATGTTAGACCACTATTGAAAACCTGGAAGTACTAGACGCCCGTTCCCTCCTAGTATAGCACTGCTCGGCAGTATACAACCACGATTCCGCTAGCGAGACTCGAACCCAGGACCTTTGGTCTCACGTGCGAACCCTTAACCACTGAGTCGGAATCTAACAGTGTTTGTGTCTAACTCCAATCAGTCCACGAAATTGCGCCACCATCTTCTATTGTCTTTGACGGGTAACCGCTTACTTTCTGCACAATTGAACTTCTTGTTACGGTTTTTTCATTATGGTGACTTTTATTAAGGCATTTTGGTATAGAGTAGTAGTACGATTGCTCCGATGGTCCCAATCTGTTATTTCATAAAGTTATCTCACTTTGTACATCACGATTGAAAATAGGTGTAAAATAATTACTTGACATTAAATAGCTTAAACAAATTAATGTTTAACAGAGTTATCAGAATGCTTGTTAAGTACATAAAGGAGCACTTTAATTCCATGTAATTCGCCGTTGTAGATAACAAATTTTACGAAGGCTACATAAGAATATTGTACATTTATAACTTATGAACCGTCTTTGATAACGTATTCGACTTATCATGCATAAGTTTAATTCGAATACGTGTTGTATGAAAGAAACAGTTGTTTTAATTGACGTTTAGTGTAAATTGTGAAATAAATAATGGTGGAATAAGATTCCAATTGATTATAAAATCGTGTACATCGTAACGGACATAAATATATCTTTTGGCCGACTGTAAATAGTGATCATTTTATTTTCTTGAGCTCTTCTGTTTTTTATCTTTCTAACGAATATTATCATTATTCCTATCGTCATTAAACCTTGTCTGATATCTTACAAACGGTTATGATTTACGTGTCTTTCCCAAAACGGGTCTAACTACAACACAGGAGGTGCTTCAAACCTGGTGTTCTCTCAGCAAGTGTCGGATATAGTGAAGACTCAAGTCACCATGATTTTTATCCTAATCCTTTTCTATCTCGATCTTCCAATTTAACCGCTCCATGTTCAGTCATAACCAGGCGTACTAGTCGTTGCTTTATTATACAATTTCATCCATCTCTTGTCAAAATTTTAATCAGTTGTTGAGTTTAATTTTGTTATCGTCTTGACTGATGTGTCATACTTGTGATCTAAAAATGTTCAAGTAACAATCAATAATAATACAAACACCGAACAATCGAAATTATGTAACTATGTACTAGCAAACAATGATGACATTTGGAAAAATGGCGCTGAGTTATATTTGTTTGCTTAGTTTGTAAGCTAAAATAAGCCAAAGTGTTAAAAAAATGCCTGAATGTAAGACGACAGTATTCAGAAATGAGTATTTTATTTAAGTGTTAGTAAAAGTCTTAATATTATAGACAATTTTTTTATACGTCCGCACACTAAGCCAATAATTCCCAACCCCTACTTCTTTTCCTCCTTGCTCACTAACTAGAGATAGAAGTACAAGGTTGTCTAGAAGCTTCATTATGAGAGACCTAAGATGATTACTAATCTTTCGAATATATTCATTTATAAACAGATTAATTGCAGTGATTATTAGTTTAAAAAAATTCATCACACTGAACAAACTCTACATAAAAAGAGTACAAATGCATATTATACTAAACAAACACTGCACTGGATTAATTTGATAGTTAAATAAGCGAAAATCATCTGTATTTGCAGATTTAGCATCCACAGTTTGTTGGTAGTTATACGGCTTAACAAATATATTGCCACAATAAAGATAAAACGTTTACTTCAGGTTATCCATACCGTAATATTCTTATTAGAAACTAGAAGCAGAGTTTTTAGCATCACATTATTGTTGTGGCCTCGAGTTTTGCATCCGTCCTATATTCGTGTACTCTCAGTTATCCAAAGTTCTATGTATGAGTAATCGACAACACTGCTTTTCTCCCTAATCACTACTGATAACCTTAGCACGAGAAATCGTTTTTCTTTTCCTTAATCCAGATGTATCAATCAAGTTTATGTAATGGCTGCATAAAACAAACAAGATAAGCAAAAACTTATCAACTGCAATGTATATTCCCTTCCCGTAAATCGATGGAATTATTGCTACACACAGAATTCCAAACTAGAAAGTAAAAACATTTACTCAACATGTGCTACGGTAATCATTCTCCACTTTAATAATCACCATCGCTTTTACTCCGTTATCTCCAAAACGAGTTATTTTCGTTTTTCATAGTCTTTGCTATTGCTGTCTTTTCCAACTTATTTAGTCATGTTGTGCAACTTATTTTTATAATTATGAATTACTAGCTACTTTCTGGAACATTCTTGATTGATCTTTCTGTTGTGAATTTATGTCCGGCTTTTTAGCACGTGATTTATTCACCAATCAAAATACGACCTATCCAATCTTACCACTGTGTCAAACCAATGACGTTTGACCGACATAAGCAGCCTAGCGTCCTTATTAGTCCCTTTGTCTGTCTAGCCCTTCCAGTTGAGTCCAGAACACCAATAACAGTTCCTGCAATGTGAATCATTTATTTCAAGCATACTTGGTTTACATACCAGCCAAAAAGACCTCATCACACCAGAAAATAAAATTTGTACAAGATCAAGCCAAAATGTGGCTGTGAACGTGGGAGACGGTAATTAATAAACTGAACATAATTTTGGAACAGTAAATCGTATAATAATAATTTATAGGTCAAAATGATGCTTATGACAAGAGGAATATAGATATACATAATCTAGTTACTGAACAGTTATACTATATTAGTCCATTAATAGATCCCAGAAGTTACCCGTACATTAATCTTCACTAGGATATGACACTTTCAATTTTCTTAACAAGAAATTAAGTCTACCTCTGTCCATTTGTTGTCATATTCGATATATCAATGATAATTAACAAACATAACCAGGTGTATATTAAAAGAGCTTTCATTCCTTGGGGTATCTTTTGGTCTTTAAATGAAATATGTCAGTTTCAATGAATTGCCATATATATATATATATATATATATATATATATATATATATATATATATATATATATATCTTTGACCATAAAACTTATCTGTTTAGTTCGATTCCTGCGGAACAAAATTTTTTTAAAAACAGTCCAACTTATGAGTGCTAGTTTTTATAAACGAGTATTTAACACACGCGGAAGATATTTTTTCGCAATACATATGGGGAATTCAAGGCATATAACCATAATGATCAACAGAAAAAATACTTTGGTTGTTAAATGTTACAAAGAAAGTTAGTTCGTAATAACGATGATACTTTTGAAAATGCAAATTACAAAATCGAATGGCTGTTAATTGGGAATTCGGCTGTGCTTGTAAATTTAACAAGTAGTTGGATTTCTTAATAACTGGTCAGCATCCATTAGAATACATAATGAATATTAAATGATGTGGAATATTGCGACTCATCAGTAAATAAAAACATGGATTATCGAATGGTACTGTACCATATTTATATTCTATGAAAAAACGTTGTTCTAGCTTGGTTACTTACCGATCAGTTCAGATATCCCGATAATGAATACTTGCATTAATCAAAAGTCAGTGGAATAATATGATTTGTAAAGTTACCGATGATTCCTTTTTCGTCAGAACCTTTATTTATCAACGAACATCGGAAAGCTATAAAATTTGAGGCATCCTAAATATTCAGTAGCCTTGACGTACACTATCCTAGAACTTTTCACAAACCCGTTACTTATAATAAAAATCATTTTCGTTTTTCGGTTTATTCGACTGCTTCAAGCCGTTATAACGAAGCGAAATTGATGTAAACGGTAACCTACCGTCTGCATGGATATGATTAATTTGGCAGAATAATTGATGCAGAAAGCTCAAGGTGAACGAATGTCAGAAGACAGGAAAACGCCAATCAAACATCAGTCGTTTTAAGTAACGAAATTACACACTTGTGCATCATTCACGAAATGAGAGCCACATACGGTTTAACAGATCTGTCAACAACCATTTGATTAATAGTTTTGATTAGAAAAGTCATACATAAATTAATAAATATTTTTATATTAATCCTGTCAGTAAAAAAAAAATACGAATGAGTATCAGGGATTTATTTAAAGTATTCAGCTAATTAAAAAGGTGGAGAGAATCAGTCAGTCACAATGTAGAACTTCGTACGTACGTACATCAGTTCGAGTTGCCATACCACAGAGAGCCATGTCATTCAAGGTCTCTAACCATCGATTGCTATCATCTCGCAGATCTCAACCTGGTAGTATACACCTACCAACATGACTCAGTCCACTTGTCAGTGACTTCATGGATATGTGCCACGACTTAGTCTGGTCGCCCCTAGCTTTCTTCCAACCTACTCCTACACCATAGAATCCATCGATCCACGTGTATGTACTGATCTAAGATGCACAGGCAGATGAAATTGTCAAGGCAAATCCCAAAGTAATAAAAGTAGTAATACGATTAATGGTAACAGAAAAGGGTAAATGTATCAAGCTTAGCACGGGGCAATTACAACTCTCAAACCCCATACTTTTATTGTTCACAAAAGTGAGTTATTTACATCATAGATACCAGAAATATAGGAAAAGCTCGTCACTGCTACATCGGACAAAAAAGTGGTATCTTTTGTGTACTCATCAATGATCTTTCAAAAGAAATGACATCGTTTATTTTAGTAAGGTTGGATTTCGGCCAGCAGTGGGATCCTCCCGTTTGGGGCTCGTTATCCAGATGTACCTGCATCCCGGTACTGATGATCCAGACTGCGACTCGAATTTAATACCTTTCAATCAAATTGTCAAAGCGTTATCGACCGAGTTTGGATAGTCAGGGCTGTAAAGGTAATAACAATGAGCTAAAACGTATTCATGATCGCAAATCCTATATAAGCTTCATAATCTCGTTGACTAACTTATAATCCTTGTATAGAACATGATAAATATTCAGGGACTAGCTAATGGAAAGAAAACTAATGATTATACTTCGAAGATAAGTGTTCTTATTCACGAATATATACACATTTTGTAGACACCAGAATTATTATACGGCTAAATAAATAGTATATGATTTTTGTTAAGAGAAACAAATCGGAATAATCTCGAAAAAATATCTGTATTTATTCAAAAGTCAGCTTGTTATAAACAAGAATCTTCATTTAATACAATTAAGAGTCAAGATTGAATCAAAAGATATAAGAATTCGAAGGTCAAAAACGTAAGTAAAAAAAGTGCTGAAATACTGTACAATTTGTCAAGCATTAGATTTTATATACAAGATTATTTTGACAGAACATTCAATTCTGAACTAACAATGGGAAGATAGCGTTGAGAAATATCAGTCTAAATATATACAAAAAAGAATATTTCTAATGTTATGTTTAGTCATCTAACATAAAACGCTTTATTGTTGTTTTACGACGTTTTGATGGACGTATCCTGCAATCGTCATCGACTTCATCATTATCATTATTATTATTACTTCGCGAAGTAGTGGCTCTGGAACTATTGGAATCATCGCCACTTTCATCATCAATCACAACAACTTCCAGCCCACGATCTTCATATTCATCGTCATCATCTTCACTTTTAACAGATTCATCATCTACTTCTTGACGATTAGTTGAACGTTTATTTGTTGACTTACGATCCTTTGATGCTGCTACTTCACTGTTTACACGTTTACCTCCACTTGTTTTCAATTTATTCGTAGATTTATCTACGGAACGCATTGTTCCACTTCTAGTTTTTCTACTGATTGTTGACTCTTCTTCCTCGGATGAACAAGATGAGGAGTCACTAGTTACAGAACCACCTTCGTTACCATCAGAATCACCATCAAAGTTATTCAACTGACTATCGCTTCGTTGATGTCGTTTTGAAGAAGTTGAATTACTACTATAACTTGAAACTACTTGCCGTCTTTCTGCCTAAAACGGTAGAAAACAAAAATTGATATAAGATAACTGACTATGTAGTAGTTTTAGAGAAAACTTTAATCTGAAATGTATTTCCAGTCTTACATAAGACAGGTGAATTAAATGTAGAACGGTGAACAATTCCGAATGCATGTAAATAACTTGATTGCATATTTACCAATTAGAACTAGATATATGAAGAAGAAACAATTCGTTAACTGTTCATGAGTTTTAGTAGAATGTTCAAAAATAATTGCTTAATAAACTAAACTGGATTTCCAGAGCATACCGAATATAATTCTATTCAAGCGAGGCGAATATTGCATAGGTTGAAACTACCTTGCGAAGAATTATTGTATATTATCAATATGGAATTGTAAAAATTATTGTCTGATTACTAGACACTTGGATTACTGTACTCTTATATTCTCCTGTGTAAGCATAAACTGTTATTGTATATTTTGTCTTTTGGGAGTTCCTATTAGTTAATTACCTTTCAGCTCTGTCCCAAACGGCAACAATGGCTTTGACAAAAATTCTGAATACATAAACTGAAGTTTAGTTTGCTCAGACTGTTTTATGTAACTTCCTTGACAAGTCAGAACAATTTCCCATACCAAAACACATAATGATTTATTTAAATGCTTGTTGAATCTAAATCTTCTATGAAATGTAAACGATCATTATTGTTGTCCTACAAAACTATTTCACTCAAAACTTTTATATTCTTCATTACACTTATCGTTGCATGTTTTTACACTAAATTTGTTCAAAATGCTTATTACAAAGTTATCTGAACATCATGTCTGGAGTGCATTTAAACTTATTAATATCAGGACTCAGTAGTCGAGTGGATAACGCGATGGCGTTTGAAGCGAGGGTACTGGGTTCGAGTCCCAGAGTGAACATCAACTCTGAGATGCAGGTACATCCAGCTGACGAGCCCCAAAATAGGACGAAACGCGCGTCCTGGATTCCACTGCTAGCCACTATCCATCTCTGCTTACCATGCTTGTGAATTAAGGTATATCGAGGCAATACGCACAGTATGCACATATGCCAATTAGAGACTGACCAGTTGCAGTCCTAAACACATCGATGGGAAGATCCAAACAAACAATACTAAGTGAATTATTAATATTTTATTTTGTAATTTGTATGAGCCTGAAATCATGCCTATAAACCGGCGTGTATTCTGTACTTGTATTTCTCACAATATGATATCACTACTACGAATAGTTTTGATAACAATGCATTGAACTATTTGTCTGGTCACTAGAAATTAAACATAATACAGCTTAAGATTCAAATAAAGCATTGTGGTGTGCGCCACTGACGTCAACAGATATAAGTAGTATGTATTGCCAATAGAAAGTGAAATGCCTGAAAGCAGAAGGTTAAGAAGATTGAAGAAAGAAAACGAGAACAAAGAATGATTGGTGTGGAAACGAAAGAAGAATGAAGTCTGGGACAATTGACTGATATTCGCAAAAGGAACAGTCAAGTTTGAGACAATTGATTGACATTTTGCAAATGAAGTGTTTACTGTACGGTTCTCAGATTTTACTAAGATGTTCTATAATTTTGTGTTCAAAT